TCACAGTCTATTTAGTGCCACATTTTTTGCACTTCCATCCTTTCAGTTGGTGATAGGGCTGTTTAGAAGGGCTCTCAGGCACACTGTTAAAGCGCTAGTTAGAGTTGCAAAGCCCAGGAAGGTTGTGATATGATCTAGGAAGAACACGTATGTGTTACTTAAGCTTCATTCAGGCTTGAGTTACAAGGCTGTTGGCCACAAGTTCAATATGTTAAATAAGGATTCTTTACAGAGTAACACACGTAACATAAGGTTCCTTATTTTAAGGTTGATAGGTTGATGAAAATGTTGTGGTCCGAGGCTTGCAGGAACTAAACTTGAATTTCCCCTAGGAGCAGTGGTGCACTATTCGCTAAGTCAGTGTCCGTTGCAAACTGACACAGCATAATTTCTGCGAATAAAGGGATTGACTGTTAGAAGAAAACACATCGAACTCATAATGGTAGTTGGTTTGGAGGACAGGGTGTGGGGAACAAAATTGGGTTTTGTCAATAGGCACATTTAAGGTTGCAAAGAAACATCACAAAATGTTAACGGTTATTGAGTGGTGCTAATATGTGTTGTTATTATTTGCAATCATTTTAATTTCCTAAAAATAAAAAGCCTCAGAAGGCACCATAGTTGGGAGACAAGGAAGTAAGAGAGTGGTTACTAATAAAAGTATGCCTCCACACACCACAGTGTACATATACTAAGAGTTAAGTGTAAAATCAGCTATGGGGTAAGCATTACTTAATCAGGAACTCTAACTTGGAACAGTGAATAACTGTTAACTAACTGCATACAGCTAGTCTTACCACAAAAAAGTGTTGCCCTCCATGTCTTGGCACAAACTATGGCACAGAGCTAGCATTATAAAGTTTTGGTCAGTTTGAAAGAAATGTTAAGGATTTACATAGTCAGAAGATACTGCGGCCTGAAATGCTGGTGCACGACAATTTGTCTAGTAATCTGTCATTTCACAGGCAAATTATAAAGTCACGTTTCTGTGTCAATAAGGAATCATACCACCTATAGCTTAAAATCCCTCAAACAGATGTAATGGGATATTTAGGTATTCTACCTCCAGATAAAGCAACTAAATATCTGGGAGCTAAACTTTTCCCCTAATTATTTAAGTAATAAATATAAGTAAGTATAATTTCCAAATTCTTCACTATCTCAAGCAAAATGAAAAGAATACTATTTGCCATGTAACTGAGGATGAAATGACCTGAAATCCCTAGAACAAAAATATCTGTGCAAAGTATCCTTTTAAGTAAACTAAGAGTAAAAGGACACTTGGAGATGTGATCACTAAGCTACAGGGTGGGAGGTGCTAGATAAGCAAGACCATTTTCGAATCCATAGTTCCAACTTAAAAGATAAATTAACTTATGCCAGGAGATTAATATAGAAAAGGATACTCAAATATTAGTATGTTCACTTTGAAAAAAAATGAGAAAGTATTACAAGAGCTTCAAAAGAGCCTCAGTTAACCAGAACTCAGGGAGGGAAGGGTCACTATAACCTCATTATCTGAATTTTCTGATTGGTGAAGGGCTTAAGCAGAAATGCCTCATCCATGAAATTTCTGAAATGCATCATATAATTTGTTGCCCTGTGCACAGAATACTGCTACTGAAATACATCTCATAATTATTGAACATCTGCCATGTGCCTGGTGCTGTTGAATGCTTTTTACTCACTCTGTAGTCAGGACTTGGCTTCCTATTTTAACTGAGGCACAAAAAGATTAGGCAAATGGAAGGCAAGCAATTTCAGATGACTAAGATTCTTTCATCATTTCCTTAAAATCATTCTGAACTTTAATGATGCTATGATACTCTGAGATGGTGAAGGTACAAGACTGGGAAGAAATCTATTTCGATACGAGGTCATGGTCTGAAATTTTGAATACATTTCTGGCATTTGAATATGCTTCATTGTCACTTACCTGCAAGTCTTAGAAGCAGAGTGGGGAGGAGTTAAATGGAAATATCCTTGTCTATTTTAATGATTTCTTAATGTGCAGTAGCTGCCCATATTGCTGTACCTCTGATGAAAACCAGGTGTGTGGCAAGTTAGTAGAGGTGTTCTGATCACATGTTACTTATTATCTGGCGGCATTGGCAAAATGATCTGCTTTATGAAAGCAATAATCTTATGGGTTGAGCTGAGGGTCCCACCACATTCCAGACTGCTTCAATGGCTCTTTCATTGAACACTCCTACTTCATGCAAACTCTATTCTTTTTTCAAAGGAGTTTTACCTTTTCATAAACTTTAATGGCAAAAATGGTGTCCAGTTCAAGATAATTCCTTATTATTGACTGTTAAGAGTCAAAGGGCTTGACTTTGTTTCCTTTAAAAAGCCATTGCCGCTGAGACCTAATCATCTTGCTATCCCTGGTGTTTAACAGCATCTTCCTATCATCTAAAAGCTGACCATCTGCTGTTAGAGCCATCTCATTTTTTCTCTGGGCATAATGTCACAAAACCATTACTTAAAAATGAAGTCCATACTCTACCATGAAAATGGAAATTTAAGAACACTGAAAGAGGACAGAAAAACTTCAAGATTGTTTCATTTTCATTGACGAGAATTGCTGCAGAAAGATGCAGTATCATTATGAAACTCCAACAATAAAACACCTCCATTAGTAAGTGGGTTTATTGACATAACTGAGCATAATAATGTATAACATTTATTCATTTCCTGCTGAATGACTTTTCCAGTCAAACTGTTTTTTACACAGATCCAGGCATTAAGCATTTTCAGTCATGTTCTGCAGATGAAAGGGTGGGTGGTGGGAAGAACCAGAGGTCTTTTCCAGACTTTCAGTGGAACTCAATTTACACTGCGGTGCAAAACAAATAGCTAAAAGACATAACTCCTCTATGAATGAAAAAGGCGAAGAAGCAGGCAAGGTGCAAGATAGCCTGAGGGTTTCAAGTCAGAGAGAACTGCACCTTGCCTATGTACCAGTATGCTGGGAATCTGAAACAGGCCTGGCAGCAAACTGAGAGTGACAGTCTATTTCCTGTGGTTTATTAAGTTTGGGCCCTAAAGATAAGGCTGCCAGAAAAATCAGCTGTACTTTCAGTGGTCTGGACATTTACTCATCTGAATATAAACAAAGATCAGCTCATTTAGATCCCTGGTCCCTGCTCAGCTTCTGGGACAAGGCAGGCCTGGCTCAGTGGAGGCCAAACATAAAAGGAGTGGACTGTGGTTGAAGAACCCCTGGACTATGACAGATTCCCTGAGTCATCAGGACCCTCAGGGGTTTAAGGCCCTAAACAGAAGATTCCCTGTTAGCCTTAGCACCATTGCAGTAGCCTCCACGTTACCCCACTGCCAATATCTCCATAACCACGGTGACTATACTGTGTACACCCTCTTACTGACTGCATTTTTAGACCACACTCAATTATTTATGTAAACCAAAGCACTACCTTTAATGATAAACATGTATTTCATAAATAGCAGGGAAAAAAGTATCCCAAAATAGTTGAAACCAACTGAGCAAATAAAGGAGCCTAACCCTAAGTTTAAAACAAAAACATCTAAAAGAAATACTGTAATTATTAATTAAAAAACACAGTTTAATAACACGGTAAAACACTGGATCATGGAGGGATGACTTTGCAAAATACATAATTATTTCACAGTGAGGTTTAAGTACTCATAACAGTCTTCTGGTTTTAGTAGAAACAAACCACTGATGCACATTTTTTCACATTTTCCCCAATAATTTCTTCCCATCTATTTCATATAGAGTAAGACATTATTGTGATCAAACATTATACTATAAACTGACAAGCCCCTTTCGCTCCTTTTTGTTAGGAAATCACTTAACTGCAAGTCAGGAGAGTAGGGCACAGTCAACTGTGTGTCACCAAAAAAAACCCCGTGAGAAGTACCACATCCCATTTATTTCAATATGGACACATTGTCAGAGATGTGGTAAGTGAACAAGAATGCTGGCATTCCCTACCGGGTCATCAGTTACATACACATTACATTCTTTTATCAAGTCTGGCATTAAGATTTCTTTGTCCACATATAGATTTAAAACAATAAAATTAAGCCATAAGAGCAACGTTGGCAGAGAAGTCTTGCATGCAGCCTTCTGAGAAAGTATGTAATCTTAGTTAACCTCAAGGTCAGCGAATGTGCTCCTGGTGGTAGTATTAAAAAGAAAGTAGTTGAACTGCCTGGCTCAACAAAAATAGTCCTTGAGTTTATTCATTAGTTTGTTAAATGTCAGAAATCTTCACATTGTTGAAAAAAAATAGCATCCCTAATTTTTTAAACATAAAGTTAATGTTTAAAAAATGTTCTATTAGCCAACATAAAAGAGTTTCATGGTGAGTGTGTTAAACTTTACCACCTGTTTACACCACCACCCTCCTTGGCTAAGACCACCAGACCAGTAGAATCAGTTGTCAAGCCTCCTTTGTAATGGTAATAAGTTCCTTTTTCCTTAAAGAGAAACAAAACTCCTCTGGTTAGCACTGAACAGAAAGCATGCCCCAAATCCTTTTCTAGCCATGTTGGGGGTACACACCCCTTTTTACCCCCAAAGGGGGCAGGCCATTGAATAGCAATGCCACAAAAGCCATTCAAATAGCTGTGCCAAGGGCTCCATCTGAAGAAGGCCTCCCACCTCCCACCTCCAGGCCTCACAACCCATTTGACTCGAGTCTTGGCCTTGACCCCCAAGCACCGCCCACCTACTTCATGAGTGAGTACTGGGAATTAGGGGATGTTGCCGGATTGGCCGGGTGTCCCCTTTGGTCTCTCTTGGCAAGTGCACAAAAGGAGGAAAGGAGAAGGTCCTATAAAATGACATCTTCCCTTGAGGGGGATTTAGGGGCCCTGAGAAGAAGTGGTTCCTCAAGGCCAATGAGACGGTCTCCACACACGCGGAGGCCCTGGATCTAGTCGGCGAATCGCTGCAGGAGATGGTCCTCCCGCCTCAAGCTGCCTGCGGTACCGCCCCCGCTGTCCATGAAGCGGTCGCAGGGGAACTCGACGAGGTCCGCCTCGCTGAGGGCGCACGCGGCGGTGCGCGGCCGCTGCGGCTGGAATCCAGAGAAGTCTGCGGACACGCCAGTGCCCATGGAGCGCAGCGGCCGTCGGGTGGAGTACATGTGACGGACGTGCACCGGGGCCCCGCCCTTCCGCCTGGCCCGCAGCTTCCTCCGCAGCCAGCGGGATGCCCAGGCCGCCAAGGCCAGGAGCACTAGCAGCGCGTTGAAGGCCAGCAGGGCCAAGATCAGCAGCTGGTAATCGACGCTGCCCCGGCTCCCAGGCTCAGGCAGGGTGACGAGCCCCGCGCAGTGGTCCCGGGGGGCCACCGGGCAGACCCGGCCGCCTAGCACACCTTCTACGCACACCAGGTAGGGGGTGTCTCCGCGCAGCTCGCGCAGCGTGGCAGAGTCGCTGCGCTCCGGCAGGTAGACGAAGCGGTGGAACTTAGGCTGCTGGCCAAATCGATCGAAGAGCAGGCGGAAGCGCGGGCCGCCAAGCGGCCTGGGGCTGCGGTGCTCGCGCACTGCCCAGCGCACCGAGGCGCTGTCGGCGCCCACCGCCTCCACAGTCAGGTTGCACAGGATGAACTTATTAAAATCGCACGGATCGGACACCAGCGGCAGCAGGCCTACCCCGCCGTCGGACTGGGCTGCGCTCTCCTGTTGCTGCGCTGCCAGGCGTTGCCTTACCGCTAGCTGCCAGGGGTCGCTGGCGGGCAATGGCGCAGAGGTGGGCTCCGCCGTCGGGGTGGGCTCCGCGTGGGCAAGCTCTGCGGGAGTCGTAAGTCCCCACTCAGGTTTCTCCAGCAGGTCCATAGGGGTTGGCTCTGGGCCCGCAGCAGCAGCGGCGGAAGGGCCAGGTTGCTGGAGGCCTGGACCCCGTCGGCTCAACCCCAGGGCGCTGCGGTTGTCTGAGAGCTCTCTGGCGGCCGCATCCCAGGCCACCCCAGACAGAAATCGCTGCTGTAGCTGTGGCTGCGGCGGCAGCTCATCCATGAGGCTACCTGCAGGGGGCTCCATCTCCTCCTCCGTGGCTGTGGGTAAGGAATGCCCCTTGCCGTCGGCGGTCGGGGAAACGGAGGAGGAATCTGCGCAAGGCCCGTTCTGCAGTTGCTGGTCATCCAGGTAATCCAGGTACTTGCCCCTCAGGGCTGGGGGGTGGCGACACTGCACAAAGACGGTGAGAAGCCGACCTTGCGAGTGCCAGTCGCCCATCCAGCGCTTCAGGCCACGCAGCCGGCAGTCGCAGGTCCAACCGTTGCCGTCTAAATCCAGCCGGTAGAGGGCTGGGCTGGCGGCGAAGATGTCCCCAGACAGGACGCTGAGCGCGTTGTCGCGCAGGCTGAGCTCCCGCAGCCGGCCCAGGTGGCCAAAGATAGTGGGGTGCAGAGTGGACAGTTCGTTGCCGCTCAGGTCCAGCGCCTCCAGGCTTTGCAGAGGCTCCAACAACGCCACCGGCAGCTGGCTCAGCCGATTGCCCTCCAGGCGCAACTCGCGCAAGGCCTCCAACCCCCAAAACGCCTCCGGCGCGAGGTGCGTGAGCTGGTTGTCCCTGAGAGAGAGTAGGCCGAGGCGTGGCAGGTGCTGAAACACGCGCGGCCCGAGCTGCTGCAGGCTGTTGGCAGATAGTATGAGAGTGGAGAGGGAGCGCAGCGGTGCGAAGGTGGCCGCGTGGCGGAGGGAGGGCTGCAGCTCGTTGGCCGAGAGGTTGAGGAAGCGCAGCTTGCCCAGCTGGGTAAAAGAGTTCTTGCCCAGAAAGCGGATCCTGTTGGACTCCAGATGTAGGTAAAGCAAGTTGCCCAAGGGGGCGAAGACAGCGTCAGGCAGCGCCCCCAGGGCGTTTCCGTCCAGTCTCAGTTTGACCAGACTCTCCAGGCCCTCGAAGGAGCCGCGGCTTAGGCGACCGATCTCATTCCCGTTGGCGTAGAGGATGCGCAGCTTGCTCAGCGGAGCCAGCGTGCCCGGGGCTAGCGCCTGCAGGAGGTTGTTCCCCAGGTAGAGCTCCTCCAACCGCGAGAGTTTCTCGAAGGTCTTGGGGTGCAGAGAACGGATCTGGTTGTACTGCAGGTCCAGCCGTCTGAGCTGTCCCAGGCGGTGAAAGTCGAAGGCTGTGATGTTGGTTATGAAGTTGCCGCCCAGGCTGTAGGTGAGCACGTCTTGGGGACTCGGCAGCGAGCTGGTCTTGGGCACCGCGCGGAGCCCCCTGTTGGTGCACAAGAGGTGCTGGGGATGCTGGCAGTCGCAGCGCTCCGGGCACACCGGCTCGGCCCTCGGCGGGAGTGCGAGACAGCCGCACAGCACCAGCAGGAAGCGCACCGCGCGGGCAGCCTCCATAGCCGCCCGCCCTGCGTGCTGCGGCCGGATAGTCCTCTTGGCCCACCGGCTCCGTGTCTTCTCTGCATTCCCCTTGGCCTGGCCAGAGTCGCTAAACGGCCTCTTTAGGACTCCGCTGCGCGGTCCGGCCCCTCCTCCGCCCTTTGTCCGGTGGCTGATTTGGGGCTCTGCAGGCGGGCTTCGCTGGGCCAAGTCAGGCGGCGCAGGGAACTCCGCGAGCTCCGGATGCTACTTGTTGCATTTCTGCAGAAAACTCTCTGGGTGCGTGTCGGGGGCGGAGGGAGGGAACACGACCTGAGTTTTTTGTTTGCAGCTTGAGTCCGGAGAGCTGGATTCCCTGGCACGGATTCTCTCCGCCAAGCGGATTCCCCAGCTGCAGGCGGGAGCCCTTCCAAGGAGCTCCTCCGGGCGCGGCTTGGTTGTTGCGGCGGCTCGGCCCCCGCAGCCTGCGCCCCCTCGCTCTCGGCCCCGGACCTGGAGAGCGGCCTCGGTGGAACAGCCGGGGGAGGAGCCGGGGGTGCTCAGGCTGAGTCCGGAAAGGCCCCCAGTCGACGAGTGGCGGGCAAACCGGGCGGAAATTCGCTCTTCGCACACTCTGCCCCCCGGGGATGCAGGCGGAGAAAGAGGAGACGGCGGAGAGAGGACAGACCCCGGCAGGGGGAGGAGGAAACGCTAAGTGGCTCCGCGTCTGGTCAACCAGAGCCCAGGACGCCAAGTGAGAAAAGTAGGGATTAAAAACAGCTGTAGGGGTCGGTCCTGTACTCGGGGCTGGGGGCGGGCGGAGGGATTACCGGGCGCGCAAACGGAATTTGCAGACAGAGACCTTTTTATTTTAGACGAGTACACCAGGCGCTTCGGAGCGGTGGAGCACGGCTCGTCTCATAAGTTTTTAAGTCACTTGCTCTTTCAGGTGCCACTCTGCTGGAAGTTCGGGCAGCATGAGTCTGCCAGCATTCTGCAGGAAGTTTAGGGAGAGCAAAGGTTGTCGGCAGAGCTGTCGGTGGACTACTGTCAAAAGTAGCCAGGTCAACCCGTTCTGACCTAAGCGTTTGGGTTTCTGGCATCCTTATACTGGTAGCGAAGGAGAGGCACCGCCCCCTCTTAGGGATCTGAACTGAGTTTGTGCTTGGCCCCGCTCTAGGCAAGAGCGTGGAGAAAGTTCAGAACTGGTTCTACCACCGGGAAGTGTCTGTCAGCTTTTGGTGATTTAGTCCCATTAATTCTGCCCTAGGTAGGCTCTGCACGTGTGCATACATAGAGAATAACCCTCGCAGGCCCTCTTGGTAACTGCTGCCTGTGGTCTCCTCCCACTTGGTGTCTGGGCTTGCAGTGATCTTCCATCTATAGGCCCAAAAGTTCTCAGGCCTGGCTTAGTTGAGGAAGCATTATCACTTCTTATCTATAGAGGGTGGAGTATTACCGATGGCTTCTGAGGGCAGCCCCTGCTGAGAAAGAACATGAGCCAGGAATAACTGTTAACTGCTATTTGTTCATGAAAACAATCTTGCTAAAAATAAAGACACTCCCCCTCCCAAAGTGTTCAGAGAGTGTAATTTTAAGGACCTACTCTGTGGCAAATTAAAGAGATATTTCCTCACCTCAAAAGGCTGACGATCTAGTAGTAAGGGCGAGGCTTGGAAAGGTTAAAATAATAATAAATCAATACTATGAGAAAACTGCTGAGATAGAGGATTTGGGGTAATTCCAGTATTTGGCAGTGATTAAATGCCTCACTTAGCAATTCATATAGGCAAGCAATAGACACAAGTTCAGAATTTAAGGAAAGATGAGATCACTGGCAGGTGGTCGGTGAAGATTTATGGGTATGCAGGGACCTCTGCTCCAAGGAGGTGGGTGTTGGATGTAGGCAGCAGAGGGCACAGTGAACACACCAAGTTTGCTTTGAGGTTCTAAATAAAGGATGATCTTGGCGAACCAAGTATCTGTGTTAAGATGAAAGATGAAGTTGCCCAGGTAGTTTGGTTTTTAGTTCTTCTTGTGAGAAAACCTCTGAGCCCTTTTACTTCTTTACTGAGTCCTCTTCATAAAGGTTTGGCTGCCCTAGAGAGTGAGACCCAAGTTTCCACAGTGTAGCACATGCTCTCCTGATCTGGGCCCCAGAAGCTATTAGGAGGACCTTCAATCCTTGCTGGAAACACAGGTCACCCCTATTTTTCAAGGAAATAATACTAAGAAGCTGCTGCCTTTCAAACTGAACCACTGGATCTAGCTGGGATGAGCTGTGGCAGCAGCTGCCTTGAACTCCCAACCACGGGACAGGACACACAAGCAGCCCTGGGAGCAGAGAAGAGGCTGGGAAGCTGAGAGTGATGTAGTGTGGAAGAGGGAGAAGTAGAAGTCAGGCCCCACCCCCTTGCATAAGCCGCCTCTACTCCTGCTCTTCACAGAAAACTCCAGAGTGAATGAGGACAGCAGGTAGCAGTCCCTCAAAGGCCACTGTGGTTCACACCAATCACCACTCCACTGGGGGTGTCCTTTATGGATGCCTTGAAGTAAGATTTATCAGATGCTTGCAGGTACTCAGTATTTCTTAAAGTTTGGGCTGCCTTTGGTATTATTGCCCAGTGTTACCAGTAGTCCCAGATTGCAGGAAGAAATAACATCATATGTAGTTTCATGTCAGAAGGCAACAACTTTTCCATAGCATTCCGTTTTATTGAAGTAATCCATCTGCCACATATACCTGGCTTAAAATAGATGTAGCATACCATGTTTCAAATAAGTATAAACAGTGATATACTGGTGCTGCTAGCACCTCAGTCCAGTTGCAGTAAAAGTAAGATTTTTGAGATCTACAAAGAGATAACACACTTGTGTGTGTGTGTGTGTGTGTGTGTGTGTGTGTGTGTGTGACATATAAATTTTTTCTGTTAAGGTATGAATACCATCTTTTTAACAAATGCTTCCCTTTAAAAGGCATATAACCTGATCACAACTTCACAAATGAATGACATTTAAATACTTCAGAGTACATTTATGTGATAGGCATATGTGGCCCTAATCAGACTTCATTTCTGTCATACACATTCAGATGTTTGATTTATTTTCAGACCATCTGTCTCCTCTAAGAATTAGAATGTTATTTTGGTTGAATTTGGCAGTACTTAGAGCCCTTGGCAGTGAAGAGCCACAAAGGTAACTCCAGAACTGCATTTGCTTGGAATTCTTATTGCTGCTGGTGAGCAGGCCAGGCAAAAAGCTTCTCACGAGAACTGAGTGTGTGCCACAGCCCATGATGAGCAATGGGAATGCCGTGGCTGATACTCAGTGCCAGACCTCAGGGTGTAACAGCTCAGTGGGAAGGCGGTTGGGCAAGGAGCAATTTCAGTGCCCAAGAGCTGTGGGAGCCCTGAGGAGGGGCACCTCACCTAGACTGAGGGCTTGAGGAAGCTTCCAGAGGAGGGAAGTGCTGGCTATTACCTAGATGAAGGTCAGTAGGGCACTCAAGGAGGGGAGGCCTGGGGACATGTGCAAAAGAGTGATTTAGGAACCTCCAAATCTTCTATCCAAATCTTCATTGGTTGAGATATTTTTGACGTGTGTATTTTTTGACAGCACACAAACTTGTTCATACAATGATCTCCAAATAAATATTCCTTTATTCCCCTTTAAGGATTTTTTTCAGGAGTCAGTTGACATAATCATATTTGCACTGCAACATCAATGGACGGCTACATAAAGTCAATGCTATACAAAGAAAATGTTGTGTATCTAGTTCTAGCCTTCTGGAACCTTGAAATCTGTGACTGTGGTTTGTGCAGGACATGTGTTGAAAGATCATCCAGACCAAGCTTCACTTACATGAGATATACACAGGCACTGTAGAGATACCACTCTTGGACCCGAGCAACCTGGGCCCCTACCCTGGACCCTTGACCAGTCCATCTCTGTTTGTGTCCCTCTCCATAAGAGCAGGATATCAGGCTTCCAAAGAGATGTGCTTACCCACAGCCCATACTCCCACTCCTGCTCAGAAATGGACCCTGGAATTCCTTACTCAACTGCCTAAGTCTCTGCAAGCCTTTCCCCCATCTGTCTTCCTGGGGGCCAGTCATGCCACAGGTGTATATACTGGTCAGAGGACAGCTGTGTGAAAAGAATCTGGAGGTGTGAGCTGGGATTTCCACTGGCATGTCTGGGAGGCTTCTGGGAGACTCCTGGGAATGTGGGAACAGAGCTGAGAGGAGGCACTGTGGGCCAGGGATCTCTTGCACTCCAACCCCAGGCTTCTCAAATATTAGAGAAAGGCATGTCCTTATGTAGATTTTAGGAGGGGAAAGTACGTGCAGTTGGATTTAGAGAGAACAAGGAGAAAAATTATAGAAGTTTGAAGGAAAGCATTTTTTTTAATGTAAATTCTGATTTATCATAACATAGCTGATACCTGATTTTCTATAAAAAGCAGTAATTTTTAGTAAAAGCAAGGACAGAGTTACCTCCATTTAAATATCTGTCTAGTAACTCTGTAATGTCTTATGGATGGAGCCATGCTTAATCAGGTTCCAGGAGACTCAAGTATTGATTATGCTTAAATATATAATTTTCATAATAACAAATAGAGATCCATGTTCATAAGAGATAACATCATTTTACTTTTGGAAGGCTTGCCCTTTAAATCTCAAGCACACTGTGAGGTGGTTTCAGAGGTCAGAAGCACAAGCAAGTTCAGGCTGATTCCCTGGCACATACATGTAGTTTAAGGATTCTCAGGTGTTCTTGCCCAGGCCTGGAATCTCTTTGGGCTTGCCAGGGATATACACTGCTTTCTTTTCAAGCAACCTGGGGTTCCTTTGCACTTCAGCTGTAGAGGCAGAAAGGATTCCAGCCTACGTCTTCAGCAGCCCCTGGAGCCGGCCTGTTTGGCCCAGGCTGCCCTGGTGCAGGACAGGTTGGAGGAGGAGAGCTGGGGCCAAGCTCCTCACTGCAGGGAGAGATGGGCCTGCCAAGTCCTGCCGAAGCACCACTCAGAGCTTACTTGGGCAGCCTACAGAGACACAGCTGTTGCCCCACCCCATGCAAGCCAAACCAGAAAGGCAGTGTGGTCCCTGATGCAGATAAAGTAGGAAACTGAGAGTCCCCAGTGGTCCCCTGGCATGTTATCAGCCCTCAGTCTTTCTCTATCTGAATGAGCCTCATTTTAGCTCCAATGTGAAAGGAGCTTTCTTTGCCTTGGGGATTAGGAATGTGAATAAGAGAACCACTGGTTTATGGTATATTTGCTAATTCTCCATTTTCCAAAACCCTTAAGAAAATATAGGAGTGTAGATGCCCAGCTAGGTATCAACCTCATTAAATCAGAATCTCTGGAGGAGAAGCCCCAGTACCTGCATTTATAAGCCACCAGATGGTTTTTATGGACAGTTAAGTCTGAGAAAACTAATAGATAATATGTCTAAAACACTTGTTCACGATTGGCTGATCCTATCATAACAACAGTAATAACGACAAGCATTTATGTAGTGCTGAGTACTAGGCCCAGGTCTGAGCGCAGTATACAAAAGTGACTCATTTATTTC